TCCCTCTTTCCTTCGGTTATATACTAATTCCATCTGCTGTATTTCATATGTGTTGGAATAAATAAAATTGAGGTGTTCATCTCTGCTATTTGAATAGTATCAATTCATTGTTGTATTGAAATGAAAAGGAAATTATTAGAACAATTCTAAGGCATTCGAGAGGCCTGGATTCTCTCCCAATTGGATAAACCAATACTCAACATTTTGCATGCCTTCTCTCGTGCCCCCCAATTACATTTATAGATATTCTACTATATTTCTATTCTCCATTTTACCCCTTTGCTAACTAACTATGGAATGCTCTAGAAGCTTGTCTGAGTGAATCTTATTTGAGCTGGGATGCTATCACATAGCCTCAGTCCAAGAATAAAAAGAATTAACAACTAGGTCCCAAGATTGTAAGGTTCCAAATTCCAATATATATTGGACAAAGAAAAGCTATGCCAATCACTTGATAATTGTTAAAAAAAATAGTATTTCAAACCTTATGACGTCAAATTGACCTCTCATATTCGTCCAATTTGTTATACGATCCTAGAAAACTTGAAACAAAAATTAAATCTCTCGGCTTCAGATGCTGGACCGATATTTCTGCAATTTCATCCCACATTTTCAGTAGTACCCTGTGCAGTGTGTATTAAATTACGTCCATCGCTAGCCTAAACACTACAAAGCCAGTGCGCGCTCGCGCACACATTCAGGAAAAAAATTAAAAAACCAAGTGTCTGTTTGACAATTATTAATTTATTTTATGGTTTGATACAAACATCACTTTCAACCAATAAAATATTCTAAAAGTATACCAAAAACTTGACATTCGGAATAGTATGGACGCCAAAATTACCAGTGATAGTATTGCATTCTTTAAAAGGGCAGTCTATAGTACCAATTAAGCTGACAGAGTTGCTCAAGTTTTGAACAGTGATGGGTCGCTGCTACTTTAGGGCGCGCCTGTAAACTTCTGCCATCCAGTTCTTCGGGTTCAGGCTCATCCGGGAGGGAGAATTTTCAAACAAGTCGGATCAAATGATCCATTTGGGTTTTTTATATAAGAGTTAATTTTGCAAATTTGTTTTTATTGCAAATCATGTCTTCAATCTTTATAATTCTTAGAAACTAGTTTTATTCTTGTTTTTATTCGTCCTCACTAATTGTATCTTCTAAATCTGATTTTTTTTCAAAAATCTCTTCATTAATTTCTATTTCTTCAATTGTTGGTAAACTCATATTAGTCTGGTAAGTTTAAGA